ACCATAGAAAGGGTTAATCACACCCCCACATTTGAGAACAGAAAACAACCGAACCATGGTTTCATCTATAGTTCGGGGGTCAATAACTCGATCAAACAAGCATAATCTGGGTGGGGGTGCACATTCACAATGTAGTAGGCAACTTAAGGTTCACCATCAAAGCACATCATTAAGGGCCCCAACCGGCTCCCACAAAATGGTATGAAAAACTGGCATTTCATCGAACACCTTGTGTGCACTATTAAGTCAAGCATGGAATTGGCAAATTTCTTGCACACAAGGGCTCAAACAAGCATGGGTTACATTGCCCAACACAATTCAAACATAAACCAAGCCTTCCCCTCATTCAATTGCACAAAATTCACACATGGCAAAGTTATTCTCTAAACCTACACTCTAACACCCAATTCTCCACAATTCACAAAGTAAAGGGCAAAATCAAACCTGGAGACACAAGTAGAGGTGTAGGGGATGATGAGGGGAAGATAATGGAAGCAACGCAAAACCCAAAAACTGCCCGGAAATGCTCGTCGGAGCCTCGCCGGAGTCTAGCTGGAAATTGCCTCCGGTGACCCAAATTCGGCCCAAATCGCCCCAAACTCAAGGGAAATGCCAAAAAGAATGAGGGAAGTTGGGTTGGGTGGTGGTTTGGTGAAAAACCGACCAAAAATGGCCGAAAATTGCCTAAAATTTTTCAAAATCGCGGTTTTCCTGCGAGGGGGAGAGGATTCCGGTGAGTGCTGATGGGGTTTCTGGCAACGCGGCCTTGTCGGCCGAATTTAAAGGCATCGAGTCGGCTACACGAGCACGCTCACACGGCCGTGTGAGGTGCAATAGCGCCCGTGTGGGCGACACGGCCTGGCCGAGGAATTCCACACGGCCGCGTGAGGGAGCACTTCTGGTCGTGTGGAAATTGCCGAGCCTTCACACGGCCACAGGCCAAAACCACACGGTTGTGTGAGGGACCCCTCCTGCCCGTGTGAAAAGTCCAGGGCTTCCACACGGCCAAAACCCAGCAGAGGAACTAAGGGTCCTCGAGCTTGATCAGCTGCTCTGCGCGCTCGACAGCACCTCCCACGTACAACTTTAGGAGGTGGCCATTCACCTTGAATGGCTCAGTTTGAGCATTGCTGATCTTCACCGCACCGTGCGGGAAAACTTGGGTGACCGTGAAGGGTCCCGACCATCTCGAACGTAGCTTGCCCGGGAAGAGTTTCAGGCGTGCATTGAAAAGCAGAACACGATCACCTGCCTGAAACTCCTTCGGGCCCCTCAACCGAGCGTCGTGGAGACGCTTGGTTCGCTCTTTCTAAAGCAGGGTGTTTTCGTAGGCGTGGTAACGCCAATCATCCAACTCCAGCAGCTGCAATTTACGTTTAGTACCTGCAACACTCAAATCCAAGTTTAGCAACTTAATGGCCCAGAAGGGCTTGTGCTCTAGCTCTACTGGCAAATGACACGCCTTCCCATAGACAAGCCTATAGGGAGAAGTGCCAATCGGGTTTTTATAGGCCGTCCTATATTCCCAAAGAGCATCATCGAGCTTGGTGGACTAATCCTTGCGGGACTAATCCACCGTCTTTTCAATTATTCATTTAAGCTCTCGCTTCATCAGCTCGGCTTGCCCATTTGACTAGGGATGATAAGCCACCGACACCTGATGCTTAACACCATAGCGAGAGAGGAGTTTAGTGAATTGCCCTTGAAAATGGGTTCCTCTGTCACTAATGATGGCGCGAGGTGTCCCGAACCGGGAGAACAACTACTTCAGAAATGAGCAGGCCCGTCTTGCATCATTGGTGGGCATGGCTTGAGCTTCTGCCCACCTCGAGACGTAGTCCACTGCAACCAAAATGTACAGATTGCCAAAAGATGGAGGGAATGGACCCATGAAATTGATACCCAAACATAAAAAATTTCACAAAAGACAGAAATATGTTGGTGCATCTCATCCCGGGCAGAAATGTTACCTGACCTTTGGCAGCGGTCGCACTGTCGTGCGAAGGTGTCCGCATCCTTGAAGAGCGAGGGGCAATAGAAGCTCGACTATAGCACCTTCCGCGCCGTGCGGTTTCCTCCATGGTGACCTCCAGTAGGTCCCTCATGTCATTGAGACAGGATGTCTCCCATCTCGTGCTCCATGGCACAGCGCCAGATCACGCCATCTACTCCGATCCTGAAGAGGTAAGGATCCTCCCAGATGTAATGCTTCAGGTCGGAGAAGAACTTGCGCTTTGCATGAGTGGCCATCCCCTTTGGTAGCTTCTTGCCCACCAGATAATTGGCAAAGTCAGAATACCAAGGGACCACGCTGTCCACCAGTGTCATTGCCAACAATTGCTCACCCGGGAAGGAGGCCTCTGGAAGCCAGGTGGTCCCTGGGGGACTGGGGTCTAGAATTTGCCCCACCCCAGGAGAAGTTGGGATGCTGGCGCCACCCCTCGTTGTAAGTGTTGTTGTAGGGGTCGAAGCGCCTGGCATTGCCGATGAAGTCCACCTGCTCCTGGGGAGTAGACGACTCCCTCATCGCCTAACATTCCTCCACGGTGTGATGGGAACTCTCACACCACTGGCAGAGCATCGCCTGCTGCTGTCCTGTACCTGCAATCATCCCAGAACGGTCGATGGCTGAAACCAGCTTCGATACCACCTGCACCAAATCAGAAGACTGGGTGGCTACAGCATGCACACCCCGCCCTGGTGCTCGTCTCGATCTCCTCATAGTTCCCCAGTCATAGCCCTGCTCTGCTATCTCTTCAAAAAGTTTATTCAGCTGTGGCGGTGTTTTGGTGAGCATATTCCCGCCACAGACCGAGTCAATCAGCTGCTTGTCTTCCGGGAAGAGGGCATGGTAGAAGGTGCCCACCTTGAAGGCGTCGGTAAAACCATGGTTGGGACACTTGAGGAAGAGATTGGTGTATCTCTCCCAAGCATCCCAGATGGTCTCATCTTCATCCTGAGCAAAGTGGGTAATTTGCTTCTGCAGGTCCGCCGTCTTGGACGGGGGATGGTAGCGAGTGAGGAACTTGTCCGCCAGATTGGCGAACGTGGTGATCGATCCTGGAGGTCGAGTGTCTAGCCACTCCTTGTCCGCCTGGATGGCATCGGCTGGGACCCCATTTATCTTGATTCCACGATGAGCTCGTGGAATCTCCTCAGATGTGATCGGGGGCACTCCCCCTCTTTGCCACGGAACACCACCGAACCGCGCAACATGGTGATGACAGAGATGCTCACCTCAAAGTTATTCGCTGGCAAATGAGGGTGCTGAATGGGCGACCTCATGTCCGCGGCCCTGACGGTCCAGTAGTATCCCATGGTCTGCTCCTCCGGAAGGACCACATCATGGTTCTGTGGATCACCCATCTCTTCTTCGTCGGCGATTTGCAACTGTTCTAGCGCCTCCTCCTTCGCTAGTCGCGCCCTTAGAGCCCGCTTGAAGTTCCTGCAGGTCTGTTCAAGCTCCTGGTCTAATGGTAGTAAATCTCCCGACTGGCTACGGGTCATGCACTACCTGCACACAATCAGCAAATGCAACCTGTGAAGGCACACAGGTGGAAGAGAGAAAATGCAGTAAAGAAAAGGTAGAGTAACAAACTTTCACGTTTCTCCAATAACCTAGAGGATCCCCGGCAACGGCGCCAAAAACTTGACACGCTACGACACAACACCAAACTACGACCAAGTGTAATCGCAGTCCGGAAATGCAGTAAAGTGGCAAGTTCTAATTATCAACCCGGGGTCTAGATCTACTGCCTACTCCGTGAATATCTATTATCTAGCCAACTAAGTCGATTAATTGTGGTTTTAACTAAAAGCAGTAAGAAAGCAGGAAATGGTTCGGTTTTCTGAAGCAAAGGAAGAGTCACTCGGGAATGAGTCCCTCTAGCTCCTTAGTTAGGTCTCAGTTGTAATTTTCCTGGGTTGATTTACTGTTGATTAAACTGCGAAAGATCAGACAGTAGCTTGGAATCTCTTAAGCTGACCAAGCCCTCTCAGTCCAACTACCCGATAGACGACTAGTCTTCACCGGTATAGAAAACTGAGGCTAAGAACACAGAACTCCACTACTGGAATTGGATTCCAGTACAAAGCAGTAGATTGATTAACTCTCGTATAACCAATCTACCACTACCGAATGATGAAGCTCTAACAACCTAATCAGATTCTATCTATCTCAGGATGTAGCAGAAATCAAGAAAAGATGATTAGACTTCAATTGATTCAATGAATCATACATCATTCGATTAAAACCAAACAGTATAACAATCCCAAGTCATTACAATCCAGATCCCTAACACATTGAACTAGGGTTCTTCATACCCAAGTGAAAGAGGGTTCTACTCCATAGAGAGAGAGAGGAAAATAGCAAACAAAGCATTCACACTCATCAAGATGGGAAGAATCTGCTCTGGGATGTCAATCTTCACTCCAGGGATGATTTCCAAGCTTGATTGATGAAACCCAACTCCAAAACCACTCTTAGGAGGTGTTCTTCGCACTTTCTCTCTTTAGGGCTCTGTTTTTTGCTCTGAAAAGTCGATCCCCTCTCCTTTGGCTCGAATTTGGGTTAAAACCCAGAAATTCCCGACCACACGGGCAGGCCACACGGCCGTGTGGCTTTCCCTGCTGCCCGTGTGAGTGTCAAAACGCCGAGTTTCGATTAAGTGATTTCCAGCCATCCTACACGGCCACAACCACACGGCCGTGTGGATTTCCAGGCTGCCCATGTGAGTTCCCTGGAATTTCCACACGGCCACGTGGGTTCCCTTACACGGCCGTGTGGCTTTTAAGCATGCCCGTGTGGCTTCTCAGCTTCTCGCCAAACGTCCAAACTTCGTCCAATCGACCCCGAACTCGTTCCCAAACCTTCATTCACGTACTAGGACCTAAAATATCACAAACAATCACAACCTAGCATGAAATCAGCCTAAAACACGAGAATCGACATCTCAAACGGCTCAAGAATAGGGGTAAAAACATGTGCAATTAACGGTCTATCAGTCAGACATACTAAAGGGTGATAAAGCGTTTAGATTGAGCATACCTTGGGCGGCCGCAGTGATGGGATCCGAAATTGTCTCGGAGGACTCGAGGTTTATCAGAGAGGCGGTAGAGGGAACGACAAGGGCGGCGGTAGTAGTAGTAGCAGCAGCAGTAGCGGTGGCGGCGGCCCCGCCAAGAGGGGTCGCGACGGTTGCATGGCCGGCGAGGGATTTCCTCCGGGCAGGGGAAGAGCCAGAGCTAGTCGACGCCGACAAATTCGCATCGGAGTTACCACCAGGCATCGTGAGATAGCGCCGGAGTTCGTAGCATCCATAACGTGCTATGATGAAAATGATAATTACACAGCGTCGACGAAATTTAGAGAGAATGAAGACGAGCAGAAGAGTGGAAAAAATTTACCAAAGGTTCGCTGTCGAAGGTCTTATAAAGGACAACGCAGTTGCAAGAGTGACTCTTCGGGGAACGAACCCTAAAAGGCTATATAGGTAGCACAACCCGAGGCTTGCGTCACCAGATTTGACGGCTGGAGGGAGAGTATGGTACGCTGGGACTTGGGAGCGCTTTGTCATCCCTGCCCCAGGCCTAGGTACCAGCCGCCGAAATTCGGAGGATTTCCCCGCCTGCAGGACAATTGTTGGGCCAGCCGGGATGACTAAGCGCGTCCAGGCCCAGTTGGCCACTTAGCGAAAGCCCAATAACTCAGGACTAGCCCAATGGGTAGGGGAAAGGCCCAAAAGAGGAGCCCGAGAAAGTGAACGGGAAACACCACGGAGGGCGGGAACAAACCCGCGAGCGTGCATAGGAAAGGTAAACTCGACAAGACAGCGGTAGCATTAATCATGGCTACTCTGACAACATTAAATGCAGCCGTGGGCGTAAGTACGAAAAGAGCACGTCAGGTACACGTCCAACAGAGCATTAATTTCCCATACCAACCCTCACAGACTATAAATAGAGGTCCAACCACATCATTTAATGGAAACTGAACTACCCCTTTCTCTATCTACTTTCTCTCTCTACCCAAACACTGACTTAAGCATCGGAGAGTATCCGAGGCCCCTGCCTCCGGATCCCTTTTTTGCAGATAAGGAGCACGCTTGCGTCAGAAGAAAGGCGAAGGTCCCTACAGAGCAGCCTCAATCACGCCTCGGAACATTCCAGGCTTAAACAGGTACATTTTGAACTAAACGGATGATTCATGGTAAAATCAAAATCGAATATTACAAGTAACTTGGAACCCGCTTGAGTTTGGTAATGATTTTAATTTACCATTCGAATCTTGTTTGAAGTTTGAACATGCGTATGGATAAAAATCTACTAAATAATAAATCTGTTTGATTAAATATAATAAATCTTTTTCATAGACATGATACATGGTAATTATTAGACTTTGCTACGGTGATATGCGTGTCACCGTAACTTGCACTTTTAGTTCGACCTCATATAGGATTAGGTCGACCTAATCTGCCTTTTCAGTCTTGTGCTAGAAGGCAGCTAATTCTTAGCAATTTCGGCCCTTTTGTTTGAAGCCTTCCAGATATCCAATATTTCATCCAATGCCTTGACTTTGTAGACAAACATACCTACTTTCATGTGGTAGAGGCCCCTGGACTCAAATCTCATCCATGCTTCTCGAATTAAGCTCCAAATTAGGCTTCACAAACACTTTCCCAGACTAGAGCCATTTTCAGGCAGTTTCTCAGTTTTGGCATAGCCTTTTGATTAGGTTCAAAAATGGTCTTTTAGACTTCCTATTGAGCTCCCAAGCACTTCAATGTGTAGAGGGACACTCCTGCTTCAAAACAAACCATTAATCTGCAATTTCCATAGAGCTAATTGTAAGATATGCATCTTCAAAGTAGGCACCATGAAACTGTTTTTACACTGAAACAACATATTAGGTCTACCTAATCATAATTGAGATCGACTGAAAAGTGCAAGTTACGGTGACATGTATGTCACCATAGGCGCACCCTAATTATTAGAGCTGATGTGATGAACACACAGTAGTGTAGAATTTTCTGCATTGCACCCAAGTTGTCGTTAATATGCATTATGTGATTCTGATCCTGATGATCAATTAATTGTATTTATGTTACAAATAAAAATTTAGGGTTAATTGCAACGGATGCCACACAAATATTAATTTCGTTGCATACTAAGCACTTCAGGTTTTTTTAGTTGCAACTAAACCACATAAGTCGCCTTCCGGTTGCACCGTTATATTTTCCATTTGTGAACTTAACGGTTTGTATCAAATTATAATTTTTCAATCAATTACAAAATTTTATTTTCCCTCACATTCTTCCATCTTAATTTTTTTATTACTAGCACTCTCTTTAATTGTCTTATCCCTCCTTTATTATTTTTGCCAAAATTTACAATTGTTTATTTTTAATTTATGTGGAATGTGAAGTGCAATTCTTATCATATTTTTTCGTTTATAATATGTTTTGCATAATTGGCACCTCGGTATAGACTTTCTTTCGGAAGAAAGTTTTTTGGGTGTCTCTCTTATAGATTGTTTAAATCCATCTATTATAAATGAATTGTAAAAGTTAGTGTTGTATAAGTGTTGTAAAGAATATTTGAACTGAAAGAAGTTCCAGCATAAAGAGTATTTCTTTTGTTGAGTTCTCCATATTTGAACTTCAGGTGACGTGACGATCAGATTAAAACTAAAGAAGCATATTGAGATTAAATACAAGGAGATGCTTTAAACGGAATGAGTGAAGAAGAATTAAGAAATGGGTCCTAAGAAGTAAAATCGAGCCACAAAAAGAGTATAGTAATGAAGTAATTCCAGGTGAAGTTTTGTCATAGTTTTGTTGCTAGTGTTCTACTAAAGAAAGACTTCCAGAGCGAAACGCAGTTTTTCGACCGAAATTCGGAGCCGAAGTCCCCCATCTCCAACTCTATAAATAATTTTACAAGAGGATCGGCAACTACGAAGCAATAGAAGAATTTCAAAGGGCTATTGTGATCGGGTTTATTCAATCCTCATTTTTATATAAAACAATATTTATTTTGTGGAGATGAAGACAGTGAAAGAAAAATGGTATGATGTAAATTAAGGTGGAAAGCTTCAATTTGATACCCACCATTAAGTTTAAGGACGGAAAATATAACGATGCAACCAAAAGTCGACTTATGCTGCTTAGTTGGAACTTAAAAAACTCAACTGATAAGCATGCAACGAAACCGATACTTAAATGGTACCCAGTGCAATTAAACCCTAACAACTTTTGAATCCTTTCTTTCCATATTTGATTGACCAAATAAATAGGTTTATACATAATCATTTTGTACAAATTTATTAATGGTACAAACTGCATTTGTATTTTTACGTTATAGTACAAACTAAACTTTTAGCCAAACATAAATGTATAAAATTCTTTATAATAAAAATTAAACGTTGTGATACAATTTTAATTTGTTTTATGAAGCACCAATATTTTAAAGTACAGTAGAATCTAGAACGACTCTCTTTAAACTAGGGTTAATACCTTAGTTTGGCCCGAACTATACACATATTTTCTACTTTGGCCCGTGGTATTGGAAATTGCTATTCTGGCCTGAACTATGTAGCAAACTTCCTCAATTGGCCTGGAGGCGGGTTTGACCGTTAATCAAACGGTCAAACTTGTTGACCGTTAGTCAATGCCCACCTCACCTGCCACGTCAGCTTTGAGGACATAAAAAAATATATATATATATATATATTTTGTTTTCTTGTAATTTGCTAATAATGGGCCTTTTTTGTTCTTTTAATTAATTTTTTTGATTTATTATTTTTATTAATCGAAAGAAAACAAAATTCAGAAATAAAAAATTTTATTTTTTATGTCCTCAAAGCTGACGTGGCAGGTGAGGTGGACATTGACTAACGGTCAACAGGTTTGACCGTCTAATTTGACGGTCAAATCCACCTCCAGGCCAAATGAGGAAACTTGTTACATAGTTCAGGCCAGAATAGCAATTTTCAATACCACGGGCCAAAGTAGAATGTATGTGTATAGTTCAGACCAAACTAAGGTATTAACCCTTTAAACTAAAATGGAGAATTAAATCCTTTAATTACCATATAATTAGGGATGGCAACATTGGCCGACCCGCCGGATACCCACCCGAAACCCACCCATCTGGTTAGCATTTTACCCGTCCATCGTGGGTAAAGGGCGGATTCGGGCATACCCGAAATCCGTGAGTAACGGGCAACGGGTGGTGATGGATCTCGTGGTATCCGCCCCGTCCCCGCCCGATCCTCCAAAACGACCTCGTTTTGGACACTAATATATAAACTAAATGAGGGTTAAAAAACCCTAATCTTCATTGCAACCAACTGTTAACCTTACCTCTTCACTCTTCCTCTTCTTCCTATCCTTCCTCCCTCTTCTAATCGGCTCCAGTCACCCCTTCCCTCTCCACTCTTCCTCTTCTTCCTCCAGTCACTCCTCCCTTCTTTTCTCTTCCTCTTCTTCCCCGCCTCCCTACGCTACTGCAACTCTACGCCACCATCACCAAAATCCTGCAACGCCAAAATCGCGCCCGTATCTCCTATCACGCCTGTTCCAATCACTCTGATCTTCTCTCTTCCTCTTCTTCCCCAAAATCGGGCCTGCATCTCCAATCGCACCTGCATCTCAAATCCTTGGTTCGTGATCCGTGGGTTATCCGGATCCGTCTGCTCACGGGGACGGTAGACAAAATCCCCCCGATTAAACTACACGAACGGGGACGGGGAAATCCGTCAGTCTTGACGGGCGGGGATCGGGAGGTAGGTACCCGCCCCCGATCCGCCCCGTTGCCATCCCTACATATAATTTTATTACCCAATAAAATAACTCCAAGCCCCAAGAAAGTAATCGACATTGTAACGATAAAAATAATAATTAATGCTTGAACAAAGTCCAAAGTCACATTCAGACCTTGACATTTACGTGACAAATAACATCCATTTAGCTTTTATTGCCTTTTATCACCGGATTTCCTCGCACTCGTGATTTTACCTCTAATGACACTTTAACAGTACCCTGTAACAAGAAGAAGAAGAAGAAGAAAAAAAAAAAAAACGGAAACATACACACAAATTACAAGAAGCAGTACATCTAACCCTCTTTCTCCTTCCTCTCTCTCCGGCGACCGGAACAAAACACTTATCATCAAGGGCACTTGCGGACACCGCCGTGGGTGGTCAAACCGGCGTAGCAAGGGCACTTGTCGTAGTTACCGGCTGTGCCGGGAGGAACACAGCTGCACCGGACGCAGCAAGTCCCACAAGCTCTCTTGCATAGGTTGGGCCTGCTGGATAACTGACACCTGGCGTCGCAAGCACCCCCACAATCTGGAAAAAATGCACAAATTATTAGCAATACTTTAGCCACGAGTGATGATGAATCCGTCGCCAATAGATTGTGATTAACAATTATTTACTACTAGTATCGGCCTAATGGTAAAACTCACCGAATTTGGGAGCATAGGGCGCCGGTGCCGGCGGATGATCAGCATGAGCTAGCTGGATGGCGAGAAACGAGATGAGAAGGGAGCCAATTATTAGAGACTTTGTGGAGGCGGCGGCGGCGGCGGCCATTGTAGAACAACTTGAAGTTTTAGTCTGAAAAAATAGTTTCGATCGAATATATGTAGCTGGAAGTGCGAAGGAGGAGATAGGTGGAGGAATGGAAGGATGGGTATTTACTTTTTATAAGGGGGAGGATGATCAGACGCGTCTAATTAATGATTAAGGCAGACAGGAGAGTTATGGATGGTAGGGGAATCAAGTAAGTGTGAAGTCTCTATGAACATTAATTAAAGCATTTATGTGTAATAAAAGTAGTCATGATAATAGTTAATACTAATTCTAAAGATTTTTTTTTATGACAAGGGAGGCCGAAGCCAAGAAAAAGAGGGGTTACAGAGGATGACTAGATAGTAGAGGAGGAGGTCGCCACAACCCGGCGCTCAAAGGTAACACCCATCACATCATCTTGCAGCAGCGGGATAACCCCTATAGGTGGGTCAGCTAACTCATGCATACCGTAGGGATAGACGAGACTGTGCTTCGAGAGCCAGTCCGCGACTCTATTCCCTTCGCGATAAGTATGAGTCAAGCTAACCAACCAATCTTGCCCGATTTTCCTGCGAATAAGGTTCAAAAGGGTCGCATAAGGATGAATGGGATCATGACGTTCCTGAATCAGCTGAATCGCAAGCTGAGAATCCTAAGCTAACTTCACCACCCGGTGACCGAGATTCCAAGTGAGCTCTAAACCATAGTAAATGGCCCATAGTTCCGCCAGAACGGCAGTTGCCGTGCCAATTCCTGCCACAAAACCTCCCAACCAGTTTCCCAGTGGGCCTCACACCACCCCACCGGCACCGGTTGGCCCCGGGTTTCCATTAGAAGCCCCATCCGTGTTCACCATAACCCAACCTTCCGCAGGAGGCGCCCAACCGATGTCCGCCATAAACCGCTCCGTCACCTGTTTCTTGGGATTGGAGAATGGGTCTGGGGCATGCCAGGAATCATTCCATAGCTTACTCTTAACCATAATGGAGTGCCAGAGTGAGGGTGCTGTCATTGCTGCACTAGCTCCCTTGAACGCCATAGTGGTGCAATTTTTCCATAATAACCAGCATGCCATACTGAAAAACCCAGGCCAACTAATACCTGAGCTCGCTGACTCCTTGCTCGAGAGATTACTCGGAACCAGGCCACGTGAGTGGCACTGAAAAACTCATGCTGCTTCTGCTGCGACACAGCTCTGGACCAGAAAAAAAGCGCTGGGGTGCAATCCCTCAGAATATGAATCACCGTCTCAGGCTGCCCTGTGCATCACATACACATAGGTGAATCTGCTGATTTCCTCTGAGCACGGAGAACATTTGTTGCTATCTTGCCCTGAATGGCCAGCCAGATAAAGCACCTAATCCTCTCCGGCACTGGCAAACTCCAGATCACCTTCCAAATCTCATCCCTCGGCTGCATGTCAGGAGCCGACAGTAACTCATAGGATGACTTGGTAGAGAACTTCCCATCTGCTGTCGCCGACCAGAATAAAGTATCCGCCTCTTGGGTGAGAGTGTCGACCGTTGTACTGGTGATCTTGTTGCAGATATCCCGAGGGAGTCGCCCGCTGAAAAGATCTGTGCGCTAGCTCCCATCCTCGCGAACTAGCTCCGCAACTGTAGCTTGCTCCCAAGCTTCCGGAATCTCACCGGTCACTACCTCTTTCAGGGGGACCTGCAAAATCCACGGATCAAGCCAAAATTTAGCCTTTTTCCATTTTTAATATTCCACGCGCATCCTTTCTTAAGGAGCTCGGCAGTTTTGGAAAAACTGCTCCAGGTGAAGGAACTTCCCTGAACTTTCCGCAAAATGTCGAGGCCCCCTCTATTTCCCCCATATATGGAGCGAAGCAATTGTTGCCACAGACTCTCTTCATTTCGCATCAAGCTCCATCCTGATTTTGCCAGCATGGCCAGATTTGCCTGACGAGTAGGTCGAAGGCCCACACCTCCTTTAGCCCTAGGTCTCGTCATGTTCTCCCAGGCCACCAGGTGAAATTTCGGGCGATTCTCCTCCTCTCCCCAGATGAAATCCCTACTGATTTTATCAATGTTCCTGCACACACCGCTTGGGATCAATTCAGTATGCATAGTATAGACTGGGAGAGAGGCAATTACTGATTTCGCCACTGTTAGCCTAGCCGCAAAGGTGAGGCATTTCGCCTTCCAGGGAGCCATCTTCTTCTGAATACGGAGAAGGAGAGACTGATATCTTCCTTTAGTGATCCTCTCCTGGATTGCCTGGATCCCGAGATATCTCCCCAGCGCTGCTTTCAGAGGAATTCCCGCACATTGGCTCAGGTACTCTGCTTTGTGCCGGGCGACATTCGGGGAGACGTACAAAATGGACTTATTATAGTTGACCCGTTGCCCGGAACTAAAGCAGAAGTCCGCCAGGCATTTCTTGATTACCCGGATTTGTCTACGCTCAGCTTCTGCAAAAAGGAGGAGATCATCTGCAAAAAAGAGATGGGTAAGAGTTGGACCGAAACTGGTAAGCCGCACAGCTTTCCACTTCCCTTCCCTAACCGCCTCATCAATTTTATGAGAAAGACGCTCCATACATAAAACAAAAAGGTAGGGAGAGAGTGGGTCTCCCTGTCTGATGCCGCGGGAAGGAGTGATCGGTTGAGAGAGGTCTCCATTCCACCTAATCCTCATCGTATTATGTTCCACACAATACACGATGCAGCTGATCCAGCTGCTCGAAAGTCCCACTTCCTTCAAAGTATCTCGCAGAAAATCCCACCTAAGCATATCATAGGCCTTCTCGAGATCAATCTTGAAGATCATGCCCCCTTTCTTACTTCTTTTCTTCCTGAAGGAATGAAGGATCTCCTGGACCACTATGATATTATCCGTTGTTTGCCTTCCTGGAATAAAGCTGCTCTGCCTGAGCGAGACCAAATTCCTCATGAGCGGTTTTAGCCTGGCTGACATGGCCTTGGTGATACTCTTGAGGCAGACGTTATTCAGGGAAATAGGCCGAAGCTGAGCCACTCTCTCGGGTGAGTCCACTTTCGGAATGAGCACCAGGATGGACTCCGTCACAGCCTCAGGTAGGGTACCTGTCTCAAAAAACGACATTGCCATATCTGTAAGAGACTTCCCCACTACCTGCCAGAACTGCTGATAGAAACCCGCATGAAAGACATCTGGGCCGGGAGCCTGGAATGGCTTCATATAAAAAATCGCCTTGTGGAAGTCGAGAATACTAAAGGGTCGGAACAAAGCCGCCGTCTCAGATTGGTTGAGACGAGGAAATGACTCTTTCGGCATCCTGTCTTCGTACTGGGAGTCATCCTGCAAATAAATGTTAGTGAAATAAGTGAACACAAGCATAGCAAGGGAATGTGGCTCGGTTACCCATGCATCCTGGTCATCCATCAGAGCCTCAATCTTGTTGAAGCGTCTCCTGATGTTAACTTGCTGGTGAAAATAACCGGTGTTCTTTTCTCCAAACTTAACCCATTGATCCCTTGACCTTTGGTACCAGATGATCTCCTCCTGTTCCAAAACTTTATCCAATTCTGCCGCTGGCTTTGTATGCAGTTTAGTCAATCCTTGTGAAAAATTATTGGCCAAACATGTTTCCCCACACCCTTCAGTCTTGCCAACAACCTCCTCTTTTTATGTTTAATGTTCCCAAAAATAGTATCGTTCCAATCTACGAGTTTAGCAGCAAGAACTTGGAGAGCATTCTCAAGAGGAGCCGACGAGCTCCAAGACTCTGCCACGACCGACCGAAGCCTCTCATCCATCAACCAGGCTGCCTCGAACTTGAACGCCTTCATGGGCTGCTGTCCGCTCGGTTGCGCTGCTACACTGGTCAAAATGGGACAATGGTCCGAATGGTATCGAGGGAGGTGCAGGACCGAGGAGTAAGGAAACACTGAATTCCATCGGATGTTGCAGAGGCTCCTATCAAGCTGACTGGCTTTGTACGACTGCCTGTTCTCTCCTCTGAACCAGGTGAACCTGGCGCCCGAAAACCCAAGATCAACAAGCTCTGCCAGATTCATCCTTTCTGTGAACAACTGACACCTCCTCAAAGTGTTGCTAGCTGGAATCCCCGACTTTTCATCCGGTTTAGAAATTGCGTTGAAATCCCCCGTTAGCAGTCACTGCATTTCGATATTCTTACTGTGAGATACTAGCCTTTCCCAAAGTTGTCATTGCTCTCCCTGCCTTGGGGAAGCATACACCGCTGTTAAAAGCCAACTCGGGTCGCTACCTCTACTAACTTGAAGCGAAAGATGCTGTGAACAGGCTTAGTAGAGTTGGACCGAGAAAACCCCAGCGTCCCAGAAAACCCAGATATCGCCTGACCGCCCCTTGGCTTCCACGCGAATCGAGTTCAGAAACCCGATTTTATCACAGACCCCATTAGCCGTATCCCCGCTAATCTGTGGCTCAAGAAGCACCACAAAATAGGGATGTGTAATCATCATTACAGGAGCTAGTCCATTTCTTATGGACCCTCCACATTTAAGATGAATAAAATTTCAGTATCAATTCACCAGGAAAAAAAAGGGATGTGTATAATTTGATTAGTTTTTTCATATGATAGTTCTAACTTATTTTGGTTTCGAATTTATTTGATGACTTCAATCAATTAAGAATATTAATGGTGATTAAATTAGACTGTGTATTATTTATTTGATTATGATTTTTGTAACACCCTAGACCGGCCGGTCATTAAATTTTTACCAAAATGTCATTGAGAATCAAAATAAATAATTTGTCTTGAAAAAAAATGATAAACAACGAAAAATCATCCATAACCAAAATCCGAATCTCAAACACAAATAATCCTTCTAAATTCAACACAAACGAGCATATGTCTCAAGTCTACTAAAAGGAAGCTCATTAAGTAAAAGGTGCCCTTGGTGAAGCTTTTTCAGCCACTAACCCTTCCGATGACATCTTGAGCAGCAATGGTGTCCCAAAGGTTGGTCTGTGCATTCCTGCTCCCTAGTAACTCCTGAGTGCGAGTGTGGGGTCAGTCCTAGGAGCAACTTATCTTAACAATAATAGCTACTCAACAACTTAAAAAGAAATAAATACGTGGACATGCATGATTAAGTAATTTTCATTAACTTGCTTAGAGGGGGGCCCCGTGCTCAGCCTAACCAGCGCAACTGACCGGCCACCTGAACGCGACATGACATGGACCTCCATCACGGTGGGAGGTGAGGTACGTGGTAAACATGGACCTCCTTCACTATAGGAGGTGAGGTAACCGCGCGCTAGCTGGGCGACCGACCAGTACCTAAACATGAACATGGACTCCTTTTCAAAAGGAGTGGGTACATACATGGACTTCCTCACCCTGGGAAGTGAGGTGGCGGCGTGCATAGCTAGTTAGGCGAGTTTCTAAAACTTTTTTTGTGTTACTTAAAGTGATACATGAACTTGTCTATTTGAAATTATAACTTGTAAACTTAAACGTAGAAAATCAAACAAGACATACATAATCGAATGCATAAAGTAACATGACATAACTTGAACATTAAGTCTAGCCCCCTTTAACCACGCACCTTAATTACTTAAGTCGGAACTCGGAAACAACCCCCAGGTAGGTGCTCCAAATGGGCAATCCGCCTTTGTGAACCTATGGCGGAATCCGATGTTAGATCGGTTGGATTCTCGGGTCCTAGCGACGGTTTCTTGCTTGCGATTACTTTACAACATTTGCAAAGTAAGACTTTGCTGTTTTATTATTAACTTGGGTTTCTAATTCCCAAAATCTTTCAATGTATTATTAGAATAAGTTGTCTCCATCTCTAAGAGCAATTTACCAATTATTTATTTTAAGGAATTTGCTAACTAAAGGTTTAGAGTAGGTTACGGAGCATACAATAATTCTCTCCACCTTTATCAATCCACTAAACCTCTTAATTCAAACCAATTTAAGAAACTTACGTATATTAAGATGTTTATTATGGAAAACAAACTAACAACTCATTGGTTAATTTACCTATCTTAAATCAAGGACTAAATAAGATATAAAATGAATCAATTAATCATAATCTCAACTTATAAATGAAATTCATTATTTTACCTTCCAAGATCTAGATAAATAATTCTCCTTAATTATAAGCAATTTATTCACATAATCTAAATTGAAAGAAGCTCATCCTCAACGTTTATAAAACTTTTGAACTCTTACTGCCAGACCCTAAAGTTTAGGGCTGAGCCAAAACCATTTGAATCTGTGAGTACCAAACTGAAAATTTCCAGCACACTTTAGCGACGACATATGTTCCGACGCTACAGGGATGTAAACCGTCGCTAAAGACCCTGCATATGCACATATATCTATGTTAAAGTCGAATTTTAACGCAAGGTTCGCGTTATCTTAACTAAATCACGAGCTTAGTGTACTATTTGAGGATTCCCTTACGTCAATTCCCCGTCGTCGTTCGTCCTTGAGCTCCCGCAATCCCGCCGCCGACACTTGAGTTCATGAACGTATACGGGTTGTGTTAGTTTAGCAATGCATTGAACTCGGGATTGGAAGGGTTCTGGGATCCTTACATATGGACGAGAGGGGAAGATCCTCGGCTACCGTTTCCCGCGAACAGAGGCAACGACGTACGCGGAACGGTGTGCGTTCAGCGTTGGCGTCGCTCCCGGCTTGCGTCTTTGCCGGTCGACGTTCCGTTTGGGAGCTTGCTTTCTACTGGTCGGAGGGAGGAGTGGTACAGAGGGAGGTGAGGTCGAAGATGGGGACTCGGGGGTGACGTTGGGGTTCGATCGTGCAAGGGGGAAGAAGGTTGTTGCGGTTGTGTTCTCCCTTTAGTTTTAGTTGACGATATATATATATATGCCGAAGGATAGAGCGGCCGAGCAGGTGTAGGGTTAGCCTAGGTTTAGTTTATTTCAAGGGGTACTTTGGGAATTGCAAGGTTATTAGGGTATCGGGTGGGACATTTCCCTCCCCTTAAAAAAAATTCCGTTCTCGAAATTGAGGTTATAATATCGAATATAAGGATATCTGAGTGTCCGCTCTTATTACCGCCGAAAGATAACACGCTAATGAAATCTACCAATTACAAGGGTATATCAAGAAACAACTCTGGGTAATTCTTCCTCATATCCTCCTCGATCTCCCAGGTAGCTGCTTCTGTGCCTTGATTTCTCCACACCACTTTTAACATTGGAACCTTCTTCCGTCGTAGTTCTTTATCCTGGCGGTCAATAATCGGTTCATCTTACCTGTTTTTCTTTATTTATATCAATTTGCTACTATTCTAATTTCTAGGTACATTCAGACAATATTTGAACTAATTTGTTTTATTCATAAAATTAATTTGTTTCTGAATATACCATCAAGAAAAAGGGTACATATCTTCTTACAAATTATATATGTCATATGTATGTGTATTAAAAGGAAAGGACAGGTGAGGCAAGGAAAAAGAAGTATGTGAAGGGGAACCAATACAGCGATGGATGACATTATGGCATTAGCTGGAACTCGCTGAGGAATCGTGAAAGAAAGGTGTAAAATGAAGGAAGGAAATGGAACTGTTCCTAACTCCAATTTTCCGGAGTGCTTCCCAGCCATTTGGGGATCAATCCCATCTCCCTTTTCTTATTTATATTTCTTTCTCGGATACACGAGCAGTAGAGGATAATTGACCGGTCAATATAGTGATTTTAAAAGTATTTACACCAGGGTGGTTTTAAAAGTATTTACAATATGGTGTGCCACTGGTTGAACCTCTGGTTGAACCTGGTCCAACCGGTACCGATCATAAAACCCGCATGATACCACCGGTATGACTGGCATGATCGATATACAAATTTCTAAGTAAAATGATTTTATCATAGTGAATTTAATTGATAAAATTTATTTTATGAGTTTAAAAGTTAAATTTTGATGTTATTTGTTGGATTCAAGTACAAATGTTTAGGTATTGACGTTAAATGTCGTGTTTAAATATGAGTATTTGTAAATTATTTGTAATATTGACCGGCATGAACCGACACAAACAGGTATGTACCACCGATCGAACCACTTCACTTGCTAAACCGGCACACTGGCATAAACCGGTATTACAACCTTGATTTACACGAATATTGTGTATATGTGTAGGTGAAAAAGCGCATCCACTCGAGACTTAGGCGGGGCCACTTTTTGAAATTCTTAGTCTAAATAGAGCGGAACCACCCAAATCAAAGGCGTTGGCGCCCGAGACTCAAGCGGCCCCGCCTTCCCGCTTTTTTTACTTCGTCCGCGCCCATTCACACATCTCTTATCTTCTTCTTCCTCCTCTTCTTCAGCAAACCACAACCACACTGCCTTCCTCTTCTCACCTGATCTGATCCCAAGCGCCCACGCCTAACACAAAGGCGGTCTCACCACCGCCTTAAGCAGACACGCCGGAGACAGAGGTGACCACGCCTGAGTCTCAAGTGAGCCCACCGGATCATCTTCTTCCTCACGCTCGCACTTGTTTTTTTTTTTTTATTTGTGGGAAAAGGGGAGGAGATGTTCGATGACAAGGAAGCCACTAGAGGAAGGGGGAGAGGACGGCGAGGTTGTAGCGGCGGCGAGCGATATCGTGATGAGGATCTCGCCGGCGACTGATTTTTTTTATTGAGTTTATATGGGTTGATTATTTTTTTTCTCAGTTCCTAGGTTTATGGACAGTTATTCCATGAAACCACCACCTGCGATAATTGATCTAGCTCCGGTCGATTCGGTACTTCTTTGGGGACATGGTCAACATCGTGTCGACTTAGTTTGGGAAAACGAGGTCGTACTGCTACAAGAATGCACATACTCGGCCTTTCTCACAGTACATTCACTTCCAACATCTCGACATCAAACCGCACCATCCAAGGACAATTGTCATCCGTGCTTCAAGCATCTGACCTTCCAGATTGAAGGTGACGACTTCACCACGCCATATTGAAAGTTGCGTTGTAGTGCGCGGTATTTAATCGCCACCTGTGCAGCTTGTTTCGAGTGAAATATCAGCCCCTTGTAGAACTCTCCTTCAAAACCAACAACAATAGGCATTGGAATTACGCCATATGAGCCGGCATATGATAATTCGCCGTCCTCTTCATTACCGTCCAAGTAATAATATGGAGGATAATTAGGTTGCTCTCCTTCCCCATCTTCCTCCTCCTCTCTGTCATCATGATCGGATGACACGCTCCATATTGTCTCATCTTCTTCCTCTCCATCCCGATCCTCACTGAGCTCAGCATGTATCTCAACACCCAAACAATAAAGATTTTGTGCCATAAAATCGAAAAGCACATTCAATCTATCATCATCCACAATAAGCATCGCATAATGAAATAAAACACCATTGTGTCATTCTGGAAGATAGTAACTGAAACCTGTGATTACATCACTATCTTGTACTACTTCGTCTTTATGTCGTATTCTCGGAATTAGATTCTCACAAAGTTTGTGATATGTCACCCTGAATGTAACCGTCAACTAAAAACTTCTATCACCAACGAAATGGACGCTCAAATTGTACTCTACTTTCTCTGATTTCCACCGAACGACTAGTTCAAATCTTTTAAAATCACTACATAAAAAAAACAAACTCACTAATTACTAACTAAATAAAATTATAATAGCATTTGAAGAATATAATTAAAAAATAGATGTGTCTCTTAAGTCTTACCTATTAGCCATCTTTGCAGTAACTAACAGAGCTTCTCTCGTCTAACTTCGTAACATAGATTTTTTGTGGTGAGCAACTGAAAGGAAATCACTTGTTTATAATGCCGGAGTGGCTGTGGGTAGGCAGCGAACCCGCCTCAGTCTCGGGCGCCCCCGCTGGTGGAGTCATCGCCTCAGTCTCTGGCGCTCCCGCTGGTCAACGATTTTGGAAAATTTCCCACTGACGAAAACCAAAAAAACAACGCAGACGCCGCAATCTCGGGCACCTTGAACTAAAAAATTTATAAAGCGCCTTCGCCTGAGTCTCAGGCGGGCTCGCTATGTTTTCTTTACAAAACACAATATTTGTATAAATACTTTTAAAACCACCATATTAATGTTAAATTAGAAAAAACATTATTTTGGGAATTAACCAGTAGTAGAACTCTGCGCTTAATTATTAATTTTTCGTAAATGAAGATAGAGACCATTGTATTTGGGTCTTCGTCACCTACTTGAGGGATGACACTATTACAGAGATTTATATGGTCTTCATTTCATCTGGGAAATAAGTACATTAACCCCGCTATACGGTACGGTCCGGTTGAATTGGCCAAAATTGATTCAGTCTCGGTCCGGTGTTTCGGGAATATAAGGATAAAAAATTGGATTGGGTACAGTCCGGTCTTGATCCGGTCCGATCTCAATTCGATCTTGATTTTAGATTGAACTTGTGAGGATTTGAGTGGCTTGAGGCATCAAAAGGTGAGGAGTTGGTTAAGTTTTGGATATTGGGCTCTCTTATCCGGTCTTTATCCGATTTTCGGTTCGGTCACAAACGATTTTTTAACCTCAAATTTTAGTTCGAAGATAAGATTGGATTGTTTGATATCTGGTCCCGATCCGATGTCGCTCATACGGTCCGATTTTAGATAAAATCAAAAAGACCAGACCAATAGCCACCCCTACTTACCATAGAACTCAAGAATGGGGATTACTTGGAAATGAGAGCATATCAAATTGAGACGGGTATCTCAAATTCTCAATATCCATACTTGTTATGTGGTAAGTTGGATTTAAGTTGATGAATTTTGGATTGGGTGCGGATAAACCCATACATTTTGAAATTGATAGGTCTGGTCAATACTAGACTTACAAAAATCCAGCCCGATTCCTACCTTGTTCCCCATAGAAAGCAATACGATGTCAATTAGTAATATGAATAATTTATGAATGCTATTGGTATTTTACGGTCCTATAGTTTTAAGAATATGGATAATTTATAGACCTTATTAGTCTTTATTTATGATAATATAGTTGTAGGAAATTTTTAGATGATATAAGGATGCATGAGTGTGTTTGAAGGAATAATTCACGGTTATGTATGTGAATTCATGGATACTTGCCAAGTTGGATTTGTCCATTCTAACATCCAATAAATATCTTACCGAATTTTATTTAAAAATGCACCCATTTAATTGTTTTGAAATTTGAAGAACCCGACCAAAACGACCCATTCTCGTTCCTAATCCAACATTGTAAGTTTTTTTTAGCATGCAAAACTTAATCAATAAGGTTACATACTTACATGGTGCATGTAAGCTGTCATTTAATAATCAAGCAATCAATTTTGGAGTGGATTAAGGTGAACTGCGAGTTAGGTAACTGAGTCCATCATTAGTTGACTGGTTATGGAAACAAATTAATAGTTAAATATATGCAGCATAATGGATGCTGTTGGAAGGAAGCTAGAGAGGTTGGTAAGTGGTCGAGGTACACGTAAACAAATTAACAACGGGAACATGTTGGTCGCTATAGCTGTCCTATATGACTAATTTAAGTGAAAATTTCAATTTGGGGGAACAAAGCAAACTCTCACTTGGCTTCTTCTGAAAAGCAAGCCATCAGTATGACTTGTAAGTGGTGACTATATCCAGCTGGAGATGAAGTAGCTAGCTCTACAGCTGGACTGTATAGAAGTACGAATCTAAAATATTAATTATTCGTTTGGACTTTGGAGTTGCTAATTATGTTGTAGACGGGTCCCTCACTTCATAATTCATTATGAGTAGCTACCTCCCCCTTCCAGCTGGGACGGGTTAGCATGCTAACCCTTAAGGGGTTGGTTTTTTGACACCCCTTTTAATTGGTCAATTTTTCATTAATTATTGACAAATATTAATGAAGGTAAACATAATAAATGTTATGTTATTAAATACACCACATTAATTACCACTTTACTGGTATTTGTACCACTGCACTGATACTCAGATATGACATTGCTACCAGTGCACTGATATCGCTACCAGTGCAGTGGTATATCTACCAGTACAGTGGTACAACGTATCAGTGCAGTGGTATATCTACCAGTACAGTGGTACACCGTATCAGTGCAGTGGTATATTTTTTGGAGGTGGTCGGAGGGAGTCTGCCGATGGGATTTTCACTGGAGAAGTGTGGCGGTCGGAGGAAGTCTGGTGGTCGGAGACTGCTGAAAAAGGAAAAATCAAATATAGTGAGAGAATTCCTAATGTGTATTTAATTCCTAATGTGTATTTAATAGTGAGAGAATTCCTAATTAATATGGTACATTTAATTCCTAATGTGTATTTAATGTGTGTATTAAATTCTATAGTTGTATTTAATATACTAGGGGGTGTCATTTTTCCAACCCCTAAGGGGGTTAGCATGCTAACCGACCCCCTTCCAGCTTGCAGCATTGGATCAAGTTGCAAGTTTATGGTCTATTGGTCTATAAATAAAAAAAAATTCAAAATTATGATGCTTGATTAATTTGAAATAATTTTAGGATGAGAGAGGAAAAAAATTGTAAGAAATTTTTTTTTGTAAAAAGAGAAGACAGACCAAAAAAGAGAACAACCTTAATTTGACCCAATTTCCAACTAGTCTACTTGAAATAAAGTGGTCCAATTAAGGGAATATGACAATTGTAAATGGGCAATGGGCTATCCTAGTTAGGGATGGCAATGGGGCGGGTTTGGGGCGGGTTTGCCTAAACCATCCCCATCCCCATCTTCAAATACCCGTCCCATACCCGCCCCATACCCATGCGGGGGAATGTTTTGCAAACCCATCCCCATACCCGTGGGTTTCGGGTACCCATGGGTAATACCCATCCCCGTACATCCAACATTATTATACCTAAAACTTGCAAGAAAAGTTTTAATTATAACCATAAACAAACCTATTATATCATGAAGTCAACAAAACACGGTCATTTTCTAAATACGATTCAAAGAATATGATCCTAAAACATCCATTAATACATAATATAGACTACAATATTTTTTAAATTATTATGCTCTAACTCTTGATACATTTACTAAGTAATAATTAACTAACATAATCTTGTTGACAAGGGGGAAAGTGAAAGAGTGGAAGGATAATTGAGGAAAATGAATTAGGTTTTGTTTAAGGTGGTTACTCAATTGTATTTCTACTATTTATTTTCTCAAGTTATCATCATCATCATTGATAGATTACAATTTAATCCACATATTTTTTTATATGTGAAGAAATTCTCTTGGTGGGGCGGGTATGTGTATGGGTATGGGGCGGGGGAGACTAAAACCATACCCGCCCCATACCCATCAAACTTTTTGCGGGTTTTACCCATACCCGCCCCATACCCGGTCAAAGCGGGGATTCCCCGCGTTGACTGGGTCGGGGGCGGTCGGGTACCCGCGGCCATGGGTTTGATTGCCATCCCTAATCCTAGTTAATACGGATAGTGTAGAATATCAATATGGCCTCGTGAATATTATTTCTCTCACATTATTATTAGATCAATTGTTGATGTAAGAAACAATAGAGCGCTGATTAAGGTGAACATAAAATTGGTCCATTTGAAGAACACTACATAGATGTTAGATGAACGCGAATTTGGCAAAAAAAAAAAAAAAAAAAAAAAAAATTAAGAGTGAATTTGGCAAAATTAATTTGGTCTATATTTGCAAGAGATCACCTTATAGGGACATGAATGAACGCGAAATTGGTTATGTAGATGGTAACAATCTGCGAGAGAAGATTTTATAGGTGAACACATCTCTTTTTTATGTTAGGAATAAATTTATTCTAATAGTCTCTAAAAATGAAACCAACTGAGCCCAAAAGAAACCTAACCCACTAAGCCCAACCAAAACCCTAACTCCTACAGCCCACAACCCTCTCCCCTCTCCCCTCTAGCCTCTGACTCAACCCTCGACTCTCACCTTCTCAGCAACTGCCGTCCGCCAGCCAACCTTCTCCAACCACCACAAAACTTCGCTTCATCAAATCCAGTGACCAGTGGCGGCCTGGGCGGCCATCTCCGACCTGCCTCCCTTCAATCGCTTTGCCAACAACAAGTGAAGAAGACACTCTGAGTCTTGGTTTTGCATGCGGCAGGACTTGTGCAGGCCTGGAGTGTTCTGGGTCTGATAGGTAGAGGATGATGGTCGAGATTGGGGGAATCGGGGAGTCGGGGAGAAGAGACTATGGTCATCGGTCGAGTTGGGGAATAGCGGAGTCGGGGAGAAGAGACGATGGTCGTCGGTCGAGTTGGGGGATTCTGGGAGAGAGGGAGAGGAGAGGATGATCGAGTTGAGAGTTGGGGGGAGTCGGAGATTGAGGGAGAGGAGAGGGAGATGTGACGCTTGTAGAGTAAGAGTTGGGGGGAGTCGGAGATCGAGGGAGAGACTGGAGATGGAAGTCGGAGATCGAGGGTTTGAGGAAGAGAGCGGAGATAAGGTTGTGAAAGGAGGGGAAGGATAATGTGTTGCAGAGATTTTCTTTGGGGAGATAAGGTTGGTTGGTTTTAGAATTTCGGGTTTGGCCCTTGAAACCGAACCGAACCGATCTATAATTCGGTTGGGATGTATGTAATTTCTGAAATTCGGCATGTACCAGTTCGATTCGGTTCAAACCGAACTGACCGAACGCCCACCCCTACATTCAGCCCCATTGTCTAGAACTAGAAGAGAGCTGACAAGAGGTCAGCCATTAGTCTGAGTTTCCCGAAATGAATGTCAAAAAGTACAGCCATATCCGGTTTCCACGTCAAGCCACCGTGATGATTTTACCATAATCTGATCTTCTTCAATCATTCGCTTATTTCAGAGGTGGTTATTTCTTTCATCCCAGAAACTAGATGGATACAAAGAAGAGTCTAATTTGATCACCCGGAGACGAGGTTGATAAAACCAAAATCTATTGTAATTGAAGGGCATCCACATTAGTGCAGCGTAAAAGGCATTACAAGTTTCTTATGTCATGCTGATTTTTACCATAGGTTCATAATAGATTTCTCCACGAGTCATTACTAAACCTTTATATGATTTGCTAGCTAAAGACACTGATTTTTAACTTTTCTGATGAGTCTTTATAGGCTTTCAACAGGCTATAAAGAGAGCTAACCTTCTTACCCATCATCATTGCACCAGATTGAACTTTGGCATATGAGCTTATGTCAATATGATGCCAACGATTATGCATTGAGGTTGTTTTGAGCCAACGATTATTCATATTATGCACAATTTAACTATTTTACCACTAAAAGAGAATTGCTTGCGGCAGTTTTTACATTTGACAAGTTTCGGTACTATTTGATGTTCAAAAACTATTGTTTATACACACTGACCATTCAACCCTTCAGCACCTTCTTTCTAGGAAGGAGGAAAAACCTAGGATACTTAGTTGAGTTCTTCTTTTTCATAAATTTGATATAGAGATTCAAGATAGGAAAAGGGAAATGCAAACCTTATGGCTGACCATATTTCAAGACTCGAAATATTTGGTAGTGAAACCTACTTTTTTCTTGGAGTTTCTATGTCCATGAGGTCTCTAATTTGTGATTTGAGTGATGTCTATGTGACAAATTTAATACCTAGATGAAGTTGAAAACAATAGCTAATTTGGCTCATGCTGGTCTTGAATATGTGACTTTGGCATTATTAGCGTGATTATCTAACCATGATAGAGGTTATTGTGAACCCAGAATCAATATGTTTCACTAAATACTGGATAGGGAGTTAGTTTAAAACGAAAATAGTAAAAATGAGTTTGGTTCATGTCTATCAAGACCACTAGGTAAAAAAATTAATGTGGTGCATGGATGTCTCTGATATATGGAATTCACACTGTCTACAAAAAGACATTTAATATCTCATTGAACTTGAAAACATAATTATTTGGCCGACCATGTGGCCTCCATTTCTCTAAATAGTAAATACTTGATAGGGAACTTAGTTTAACACGAAAATAACAAACTAGTTTGGTTTATTTCTACAAGAAAACATTAATGTGGTGCATGGATGTATATATCCAATCTGCCAAAGTCACATTGTCTACAAGAAAACATTTAATAACTCATTGAACTTGAAAAAAAATAAAATAATATGGCCCTTACAAGTCTCGTACCTGTGACCTCCATTTCACTAAATACTTGATATGGAGTAGTTTAGCACGAAAATAACAAAATTGAGTTTGGTTCATGTATGTAAAGACCACTAGGTGATAAGTTAATATGGTGCATGGATGTCTCTCATCTGCAAAATTTGTATTCTAGAATAAAACATTTAATACCTCATTGAACTATTTCACTAAATACTTGATATGGAGTTAGTTTAGCACGAAAATAACAAAACTAAGTTTGGTTCATGTCTGTAAAGACCACTAGGTGATAAGTTAATGTGGTGCATGGACGTCTTTCATCTGCGAAATTTGTATTGTCTAGAATAAAACATTTAAAACCTCATTGAACTTGGTAAAAAATTAATGTGGCCCATACAGGTCCGCGTTATTAGCACGACGCTCTAACCAACTGAGCTAATAGGCCAATCAATAGAAAATTAAGGTAACTCATAATTAATCCATTTCAATTATAAATACTTGAAAGAGAGTTATGTGAACACGGAATCAAACAATATGAGTTGGGTTTATGACTTTGCATTGTCTAGGAGAAAATATATGATTGCTAATGAACTCAGAAGTTAAAAATAATAATTTGGCTCTTATATAGGTCTCGAACCTGACTTTCATGTTATTAACATTAGCACAACACTCTTGACAGAGTACGTAGTAGTAAACATGAATAATCAACTTCCATAAATTCACCAAAAATTTGTAAAGATCGATCTGTTCTCTACATCTAATTTCCATAACCAAAAAGGTTAATAATTGGATGAACTGACGAACTCCAGCGCTAAGATAAAATTAAAAATAAACTCTGGATATTTCTTGACAGAGTAGACTGAGTAGTAGTAAACATGATACATCATCAATCCTCTCAACATCCATTGAAACCTGATAGAGTGACATATATTCACTACAAAAAAAAAAAACCCCCCGCTGACATAGACATATATCAGCAACTATTACAAAGCTTTCTTATTTATTTGACCACATCTGTTTTATTATTTGCCAAAGGGAAAACAACCACACATCATCATCGTACTACTTTCGATTTAACTCATGAGAGTCAAGGACGACGCAAACTTACAAGTAATGATATCGACTTAATTAATTATGGGTTTGAACTCAATTGAGAATTAATTAAACACAATTAAGGGCACTTGCGGCGGCCGCCGTGGGTGGTCAAGGTTGCATAACAAGGGCACTTGTCGTAGTTGCCGGCGGTTCCCGGAGGGACGCAGCTGCATCGGCGGCAACAAGTCCCACAAGCCCTGTGGCACAGGTTCGGCCTGCTGGATAACTGGCACCTAGCTTTACAAGCGCCTCCACAATCTGAAATCCATCGTACAAACAAATGTTAATAGAAACCATACTCTCTACCGTCTGGTTGGACCGATATTCCGAACCACAAATAGTAGACGATTTTAGCGGTATGAAGCATTTGAATAATGATTTTTGTAGAAAGTACTTTATCAGATATAAGCTCGTATATGATTTCACAATCCTCGATACAAACACCACGTTGTAGTTAATGAGTTTCGAATTTCGACATGAATTTTATACGCTAACATTTGAGATAGTAGAAAAAGAGTTTTCCGGAACCACTGGTATAGCGAAAAGCTCCCAATATATCGATCATAGCTTAAGACAACCAGTCGTTGCTTTTTACGAACCATTTTGTTGGTTACAAAAGATGATTCAGAGAATGTTGAGGATCAGTTTGCGTATTACCAATTGATGGAGGGGAGTAATCAGCATGGGCGAGCTGAAGGACGAGTAGTGAGAAGAGGAGGGAAGCCATCACAAGCTTGGAGAGAGCCATTGTGTTGGAGGGTCTTTGAGGGAGCTTATTGTTCTATTGTAGTTTTGAGAGGAAACGGGAAATTGGTGTGAGTGGTGGCCAAAGTTGGAGAGCGGGGTATTTAACTATTTATAGTGACGAATATTGGGCGAACGTATATTATTTGTGTATTGAGAGGGAATTGTATATTGTTACGCGTATAATTAAAGGTGGGAAAAAGAGGATATGATGAGGAGAGTGTGGCAGGGAATATCTGGTGGAGGATGGTGAACTGGCCCTTCTGAGTAGGTTTTGGGTACCCACCCTAAGAATTTCCTTTATTATCTCTCGTGAAAATATTTTATTAGAGATTACAATAATTCGATTTGTTTTAATTGACTCGATTATCATGATCAATATGAGTACCCGTTCTAATGCATTGGACTCAAATGCGCACTTGTTCGTACTTATAATGGTTTTGGGTTCTGGTTGAGTTCAATTTGAGTTAAATTATTTAGGGTAGACTCAAATGAATTTATTTGAGTCGAGATGATTGTACATAAAAATAAAAATATCAATCATATCATTAAGTATTAACTGCATTCAACCTAGTCATACCATTGATGTAAGTGTTTCCACCTGTATGTTGTTGAATAGTAATTCAAGCAAGTCAGAGATGATCGTTGCTCAATCACAGCAGCTCCAAAAGGAAAGTATATCTTGTCCATCAAGGTTTCCTTATTTGATTGCAACGACTAGGAGTCTTCGTCTATATATTGCCAAGGTTCGATCTTGAAGCTCACTTTTGTGGGAGCTATTGTGGTAAAGGGCATAGCACTGGATTACAAAAGGAATTGACGAAAGGTTGAGGAAAAGGTTCACCTTTCGTCAAGGCTGGTACAGATCAGAGCTTGATCTGGGTTTTCTTTCTTCTCCATTTAGATTGGTTCTTTTGCTCTTATTTTGTCTTTTTGATTTCTGAATAATCTCAGTAATAAAAGGTTTCCCAGACCATATTCTGGGACGTGGAAGTAGACCATTGCACTTGGGCGAACCACGTTAAAAATGTCCGGTGTTCTTTAATTTTTCTCTGCACTTTACCTTCTGCAATTCGAGCACTCTGTTTTGGTCAAGGACTCTGTTCCTTGTTCTGGTTCTGCTGAAGGACAGCAGGGTTTGGTGATTCGTGCTCTACAGAAAGGAGATTGGGCTTGAAGCCCATTCTCTATCTATTAGTCACTGCGTTTTATCGTTTTATTAAAGCAGTTTTTACTCAGGCCCGTTTCAGTTATCGGCCCACTTCCTCAGAGAACAAAATCGAGAATCATTCTCTCTTCCTTTGATTCTCGACAGTGCTCTGAAATTGGGTGTTCATCCTGAACCCTAATTCCCAAATCGATCTCAAAAACTACTCTACATATGTTTGTTTGATAACAAAATAAAAAATAAAAAGAGAAGCGAAAACTTTATTAGAATTGGGTATCTATTTTTTTAGGATACCCAATACTACAAGTTTAATTTAGATCCAAACTAAAAGGTTGTGTATGAGTTTGCCTCAAAATTAAAGTAAAATTACTTAAATTTGATTGGACACATAACAAAAAATTTCATGGCAATCCTCAAATATTGGGTCTTCTTTTACATCCCTATATTTTATGCCGCGTAAGATAGTTTATATGAGCTTCAAGTTGATATAGATTTGTCACATTGTAAACTAAACCATCATGTATTAAAATCAAAGATTCTTCAATTTAAATATACAATTTTCACAGTATTATATAACAAAAAATCACATAATCTTATAACTAAAAGCCATTGGAAAAAACAAACTCTAAAAATTAATCATACTTAATAAAAAGCTCTCAATCAAATCAAGTCACGAGATTGCTCGATTCGAATTAGAAAAATCAAAGAAGATTGAAGCCGCAATAAAGGGGGAGCAGCTGTGCAAATCCTCAAACCTTCCTTTGCTGAAACCGCGCAAATGACAACGGCTACCTCTCTGGAACTTATATAAAGAAAATTTAGAGTCTTCTTTCTTTACTGTTCTGGGATCCTTTGTGGAATAGGGCAAAGGGTTGGGGATTATCAGTGGCCTTGATCAGTTCTGAGGTATAGGTTCAGACGATTAAGGGTTGTGGTGAATTCCTGCATGAATTCTGTTGTTCTCTTTGGCTTTTGAATATCACATTCGAGTCTGTATTTTGAGTCTTTCTTTTTTGCTTTAAAATCAAGAAAATCAAAAGTGTCTCTCGGGATAGTGTCTACTATTCCGGGACGAGGAGTATCCCTGTGGCGAACCTCGTTAAAAATCCGCTGTGCCATTTACTTTCTGCTCTCTCTCGTTTTTCTTCCTTCTGCGTCCCCTGTTCTTCTTTCCTCTATTTTTCTGGATTCTCAGGTTCAGTGAGGAAGAAGAAGAACTTATTCGGTCTTCTCTGTACTTAAAGTTGGGCTCTGGTTAAATCAAGTCTGGTACTTGATTAATCAGTTAAGTGGGCTTCTTTCTCTGTCGGCCCGTCGGCCCATTTAAGTCTAGCCCAAGTCAGACGAACGTGAAACGTTTCGCTCTGTATCAAGTACCTTGTCTCAATTGACTGATTCAGTCAAAATCCCTAAATCGATTTCCTCCTCCTCTGATCTTCTCCAGTTATCTCTTCGAAAAGAAGCTCTCCCACTTATCACAAGTGGTATCAGAGCCTGGTTCTTGAAAGAGTTAGCTACTGCCAAGAAAAATCCAAAATCCATGGGTTCCACTAGCTTCGGGCAAGCTTCTTATAACCATCCTCCTGTGTTCACGGGGTCAAACTACACAGCATGGAAGAAAAGAATGAAAACCTTCCTGTGGGGAGTAGACGAGGATCTCTGGACCGTCGTAAGAGATGGAACGGTCGCCATGGAGGACGCTGAGCAGAATACTTGGTCAGCCGCACAAAAAAAAGAGCGCTCAGCTAAACCAGCGAGCCATGCACATCCTGCAATCAGCAATGGCACCAGACAAAGCCGACAAGGTGGAGCACTGCGAATCCGCTCGAGAAATCTGGGTTTCGCTCGAAAGCACGTACGAGGGGACATCAAACATCAGGGAAACCAGAATTGATCTTCTGGTTCACGAGTACGAGTGCTTCGAAATGGCTCCAGGTGAGGGAATTCATGAAATGTATTCTCGTTTTACTGTTCTTATAAACAAATTGAAAGGATTAGGGAACACTTACCTTCTTAAAGACCTAAATAGAAAATTACTAAGGTCCCTCCCTAAGCAATGGCTGCCGAAGAGAACGGCAATAGAAGAAGCTAGAAACCTAAATACTTTGCCTATAGATGAATTAATTGGGTCACTTCTTAGTCACGAACATGTCTTGAAGCAAGTCAACAAAGATGAGGAGAAACGTAAGAAAAATCTAGCTTTTAGATCACAAGTCGACGAGTATGAGTCTGATAATGAGTTAAGTGATGAGTTTAACAGAGAATTTGCTCTGATAAGCAGTAAATTTCACAGAATGCTTAAATATAAACAAGAACAGAAACAGAAATCTTTTGATCGAAACACCTCTTTTCGAGCTAACCCTTTTGACAAGGTCAAAAGCTCTTTTCAAGATAGGCTGGGCACTCCGCAGACCAAACATGTTGAAATAGGAAACTTTGAAGCACAGGACTGTTACAAATGTGGAAAACCAGGGCACATTCGTGCCAATTGTCCAATGACTCGAAAGGCTAAAGAGAGAGCCATGAAAGCCACTTGGAGTGACTTTGAATCTGAAAATGAAGAAGAGGAAGAAGAAGAAGAAAAAGCACTCATGGCCTTCACAAAACAGTCACTGAGAAGCCAAGAAACCTGTCACAATCCTGAAGACTCACAATGGTATCTTGACAGTGGGTGTTCCCATCATATGTCTGGTAAGAACTATCTGTTCAACTCTCTAGTTATGAAACGTGGAGGTAAGGTCACTTTTGGAGATGATAGTCAAGGGACTATCATAGGCTCTGGTAACATAGGTAAAACACCTGGACCTGTCATAAAAAATGTTTTACTTGTAGAAGGGTTAAAACATAACTTACTTTCCATAAGTCAGTTATGCAGTAATGGGAATAGAGTAACTTTTGAGAATAATAAGTGCTCAGTGGAGCAGGTCAATGAAAACAAAACTTTATTTGTTGGAAAAAGAGTAAACAATATGTATCTAGTTGATGTCTCTGACCTAAACATGTTAAATGGTAAATGTCTCCAGGTCACATCTGTTTCACCTGAAATTCTCTGGCACAAACGTCTGGGACATGTCAGTATGCCTAAGTTAGCTATTCTGTCTAAGTTAAGTCTAGCTAGAGGTATTCCCAAACTTAAGGAAAAGGCTGAATTCTTCTGTAATGCCTGTGCTGCAGGTAAACATAAGAAAAAAAGTTTTAAGTCTAAACCAAACATTACCTCTACCAGAACTTTTGAGTTAATTCATATGGATTTGTTTGGACCCTGTAATGTGACTAGTCTAGGTGGTAAGAACTATGTTTTTGTCCTGGTAGATGACTATTCTAGGTTTACCTGGGTATATTTTCTAGCTACTAAAGATGAAACTTTTGAAAAATTTCAGTCCTTTGTTATAATGCATCACCAGTCTATAGAGGCAATTCGTAGTGACAATGGGGGAGAATTCATCTCTGATGAATTTGCTGAGCTGTGTGATAAAGCAGGAATTAAACACACGTTTTCTGCTCCCAGAACTCCTCAACAAAATGGAGTTGTAGAACGTAAGAACAGAACTCTCATTGAGTGTGCTAGGACAATGCTATTAGATTACAACCTACCTAAGTCCTTCTGGGCCGAGTCAGTCAACACTGCTTGCTACACAATCAATCGAGTCTTAGTTCGAAAGCAACTAAATAAAACTCCTTATGAAATTCTAAAAGGAAAAACTCCCAAAATCTCTTATTTTCATCCTTTTGGATGTCCTTGCTACACTCTAAACACTCGAGATTCACTAGGAAAATTCGATGCTAAATCTGATCCAGCTACATTTCTTGGATATTCAACTAAAGGTCAAGCCTATAGGGTTTTTAACAAGAGAACTAGGAAGGTAGAAGAATCGGTTCATGTTGTGTTCAATGAAACTGATCTGGTTATTCCAGATC